CCCCCACAGCCGCTCCCTCCCAGCACAGCACGGGTGTTATGCTTGGGGGTGCTTCCGCGCCTGGAAGGGGCTGTGAGAATGCTGAAGAACGAGCCAGGAAGCTGAGATCGTCAAGAAAGGGGGCCTGAGGTTAGGTGGTGTCTCCCCGGGGAGAAGCTCCGACCAGATGGGTGCATGTGGAGCTGGGAGCAGCACGTCCCCAGAGCATAAGCCAGAGACCACAGGGTCGAGAAGACCCCCTCCCATGAGGCTACCGAGAGAGGCCAGCGAGGCCTCCAGCCCACCCAGCGCTGGGGAGGCCACGGCAGGTACCAAACAACAAGAGAACAGAGCAAGAAGCTGCGGGAAGCCCCAGCCTGCGAGGAGGGGCTGAGAGAGCCTGCGGACATCACGGCAGCCATGTCACGTTTCAGCTAAAACTGTACAAAATTCATGAAAACTCTAATTGAAAGCATATCCCCTGCTGATCTGGACACTTCACTCCTACTCAGCTCTCCCAAAGCCGCCTTCTTTCCTGCTCTTCCAGCATCTTTCCACTGATGATGTTAGGGCATGATGAGAAACCCCAGACGGCTGTGTTTCTGGCTCCATCTGGGCCCGTGCTCAGGAAGCTGCAGCAAAGACCCTGGCCAAGGAGCATCTCTAGTTACCATCGTGTCTAATCTACAGCTTTCAAAGACCAAAATAGCAGTTGTACTGCTACCCTAAATAGTAACCATCCAAGTTGTAATATGCAGTAGGATCTTTACGAAAAGGTTAGCAAGGAGAAATACACTGAATTTGGGTGCAAAACATGTAGACACTATCAAACCACCATACTCAGAGCTTGGTAGTTGGCTGTAGGTCAGAAGAGACCCCGAAGCAGGCGTCGTGCTCAAGCTTTGATCATGCCAAAGAAATTCTGCAGTGACAGTTCTCCCAGTGTCGGGATCTCATCCTTTTACATCCTTAAGAAAGCTGTGTTTCTAGGCAGTATTCAGGATGCTGGAGTGAATCGCTGCCCCAGGGTACATCAGCTGCCTTATCTAGTTGCTCAGCTGTTTTCCCACATAGCTACTATGCTTTTTTTCCCTATGAAATCTGGGAAAAAGATTACTTGAAACATGAGGCTGCCCTTTCCCAAGGGCTCATCAGTTCTTTGTTTTCAGCATAGATCCAACAACTTTGCTTCCCCCCCCTTAAATGCCACATCCTGCAAGGGGTCACCTGGTCCCCAGCCCTGCCTCACACAGCAGCTTCTCATACAAGCTGATGAAATCCCTGGAGGGCCTGATCCAGTCCTCCCTGCCCTCAGCCCCTTCCCCAAGGGTCTGCCCCAGCAGGGAGCTAAGCAGAGATTATTTTTTGGCTCTTGGGGGACCAGCTCCCTCTCCCCTCAGCCCCACCCCAGCTATCAGCACCAGTCCCTGCAGAAGCCTATTCCTGTTTGGTGTGAAAAGGCTGACAGCAGCATTTGAAGGTTGAGTGAACCCCACAGCACCCTTTTTCCCCTTGTTACCCTGCCCTTCACCCTGTGGAGAGGGACCCAAGGGACCCCTTTGGTGGCTCACAGCATCCTTGTGCCACAAGAGGGCATGTCGAGCCCGTCGATGACATCACCCAACATAGCAACCAGCCAAGCAGCGCTCACAGGAGACAGGATAGAGCGGGAAGGGTGGGTTAGAGGGGAAAACACACTCAGGCCCATTCATACTGCTGCACACAGACCCGGGCAATTGCCAGCGGGTCAAAAAAGGTCCCCAGGGAGTCAGAGGCTTCAGAAAGAGCAGAATCACAGCTTTCCCAGTCCCACAATGATAATTCCCCCCATAGCCAGAGCCCATCCCTTTAAGATTTTTGGCTCTCCAGGCAACTCTTCACATAGAACTTTCAGTTCCTGGACCACAGGCTGCGTAATGCTGGAAGGAGCCACTGTCCCATGTTAGGTCCATTATTCTGTTGTTCTGCTGGTTTCTTACCTGCATCTTTTTTCCTCTTTGTTTTGCTTCAAGCCATTTTTTCCCAGTTCTCAAGGCTGAACTTTTCCAAGAATCAGTGATGGCCCATCAGTTCATGTCCCTAAGAAAAACCCCCTTCCAGCCGACACCACCTTTTCAAAGTGGTAGCTGAGCATCTTCCCCTTAGCTCAGCCTTAAATACCATCCTAACACGGGACACCTGCTCCCAAGCTCAGGTTCACCCAGCAGCTCTCATGGCAAGCTGGTAACACACCCCAGAGCCCCACTTCTGAGACCTGACACGCTTGGTGTAAGATCCCATTACCCTAACACCTATAGCCTCTTAGCAGGTGAAAGACTCTATTTACGAGGCCATTGATGGCAAGGCCAGGCTGTTTGGGATCCCAGCCAGCCCAGCGCACACCCTGTCCTCCATGCAACCTCCCAGAGCACCGATGCAGAGCATCCTACAGCTGCAGCACCCCAAAAAGGCTGCCAACCCACTGCAGAGATTCTCAGCCCCTATGTCCCCTGCCCCCCAGAGACGGCTGACAGAGGCAAAGATGTAACAGTGGTGTGCATAGCGATCGTGGTTAGATTTTATTGGTTTTTTTGTTTGTTTGGGGTTTTTTTTAACCCATATTATTGTTATAATACAAAATATACAGACTGGAGATGCCAAGCGGGTTGTGGGTCACCATGCCCCAGGGTGGGGGGGGTCACGCCATGCGACCTGCAGTGTGAGGGAGGAGGTGGCGTCTGCTCTGCGTGGCAGGGAACTGTGGGTACCCCAGAGAGCCTGGGAGGAGGGAGGATGGGGAGAAAGAGACAGGAGGGGTGAGACTTGGGATACCTGCCCTCCCACCCTTGGGAGGCTGCAGGTGGGAGCTCAGCCCCACGGCAAACCCAGGAACAGGACTGTGAGATGATCCATGTGTTGAATGAACCTAAAAAACACATCATGTCTGCAAGGGCTGGGCCAGGGACAGTCCCGCTGGGGAGCAGCCCTGTAGCTTTGGCTCAGGGCCCTGGGTGTGGTTTCTAAGGGCTCTGACACCAGGGGCTCAGCCTGGCTCTGGGACCCGACCCAGTGTGGGTTCTGGCCTTGCTCACCCCTTCCCCACTGATCCCAGGCACTGCAGTTCTGGCCAGCCCCTATCGCCCTTGGCTGCTAAGGATGTGGAGGCTGGAGCAGCATAGTTGGGGCTGGGCTGTTCCCAATGCCTGTGGGATTGCGCAGAGAGGCTTCTAGGGTTGGCATGGGGTCATTAGCCCATGGGCATCACTGTCCCAGCTATGACTCGGAGGGATATGCGGGCAGGACGGGCCTGCCTGCACACATCCAGCTCCAAGAAGCTGGTGGTGACAAAGACATGGGGAGCCCGAGGGTGCTGGCTCCATCCCCGGTGCCCCCAAACAGGCTCTTACCTGGCTGTGCCGGGAGAAGGGGCTGAACCCACCCTGCTCCAAGGTGATTTTCCAGCCCGCTGGCAGCACAGCAATGACTCCTGGCCAGCTCCAGCCTCAGCTTTCTCCCCGAGGAGCTGGCAGCTCAGCCATAGCTCCAGCATAGGGGTCTGGGGGTCATCTGTGGGTGCCTGTGGGTCACCATTCTGCCCCATTACTCACTCCCCGACCC